CTCACATGGGATAGAGGCTGGGGCATAAAGAGCAAACCATTAAGCCAACAAGGTGGAGCTCAGTAGTTCAGCACTTGGGAGGTGGTAAACAGGAGGATCTGGAGGTCAAGCTCATTCTTGGCTACCCAGTGATTTCAAGTCCATTCTAGGCTGCTGTATTAGTCATGGTCCTCTGAAGGAACAGAATTGATGGAATGAAGACAGACAGACAGATTAGTGGTATGTTGGATGGGGATGTATTAGAGTGACTAACTGGCTGTGGTCTGAGTAGCCCAACAGTGGCTGTCTCCTGACACAAAGGCCTATCGATAATCTGTTAGTTGTTCAGCCCATGATGCTGGATGTCTCAGCGATCCCAATCTGGCGTGGAGTCCTAGAGGATTCCTAGAGAGCTGGTTATCTTTAGTCTACCTATGAATTTCAAAGACGTTAGTTCTAAAACTGGCAAAGGAATGTCTCAGCAACAGGACAGATGGACTCGCCTGTGGGAGCGAGGGCAAGCAGGTAAAAAGCAAACATTCCTTCTTCTGTGTCTTGGATCTGGGCTGCCACCAGAAGAGGTGGCCTAGATTTAGGGTGGATCTTCCTGCTTCAAATACTGTGATAATGAAAATCCTTCACAGGAGTGCTCAACAGCTTGGGTTGATTCCAGATGTAGTCAAGCTGGCAGCGAATATTAACCATCACAGCTGGGTAAGAGCTCATCTCAAAACCAAAAAAACAGTAATCAGAGCATCACCATCAACTGCGTGGGCTCCTTATACTCTCCCCAAACAGACATCATCAATAGGCCAGGAGAAACTCTAGCCATGCTGTGTAGCAGAAAGTGGTGACGGTTAGGCAGGTGGGAGCAGCCGCAGGTGGCGCCCCCTAGTGTTACATTCCTCCTGCAGGTCACCCATACTGGGACCCTTAGCATTACGGGCACCCAGAGCTTGTGTGGCCTGGGGTGGTGGTGTTAGGATTCCTCAGCCTTTGGCAGAGGCCTCTGTAACAGTTCTGGTGTAGGTCTGGAGGGCAGTTGAGCTTCCCTAGTCTTAAACACTGGCCACTGTTAGAGCTCAGTACGGAGCCGGACACCCTTGGCCCTGTAGCTCTCTGGAACCCTTCTGGTGACTAGCGCTGCAGCTTACGTTCCTGGCTCCTTGCTGCCTTCTTTCCTTCAGTGTCAGCTCTCTGCCTTCTCTTGTGGCCTCTCTACATCGACCACTGTTATGGTTTGGATGTGAAATGTCCCCAGAGGCTTGTGTATTTGAACATCTGGTCCCCAGCTCTTGGCACAGTCTAGGGACATGTTGTACAGCTGGCTGACCCAGGGCTATGGGGATAGAGCTGCTGGTTGTAAGCTGGCCTGAGTTTCATCTGGAGTCTCTCTGTGTCTTGGATGGCTGAGATGTGAGAAAGCCGCATGCTGCCTCAGCCACCTGAAAGCCACCACACCTTTCCTGCCATGAGTCTGTGAGCTAAAATAAAGTCTTCTTCCCCTAAATTGCTTCTGTTAGGCATTTTGTCCCAGTGGCAAGGAAAGTAATGAACTCAACAGCCCTTCCCCTTCCCTAGCCCCCTCCCAGCTGCCCTTCCCCCTTCCCTAGCCCCCTCCCAGCTGCCCTTCCCCCTTCCCTACCCCCTCCCAGCTGCCCTTCCCCCTTCCCTAGCCCCCTCCCAGCTGCCCTTCCCCCTTCCCTACCCCCCTCCCAGTTGCCCTTCCCCCTTCCCTAGCCCCCTCCTAGCTGCCCTTCCTCCTTCCCTAGCCCCCTCCCAGCTCAGCCTGCAGACTGCCCAGCCCTTGCAGCCACACCCCTTGCTGTGATGCCACCAGCTGCTTCTTTCTGCATGTTACCGCTCAGTCCACACTACCAAGCGTAGGCAAGGAAAGACCACTCTGGGGGAGCCTGGTGCTGCAACGCCAGGGGAGGCAGCACAGGAGGGCATCTCCCAAGTGAGCCTGAGCAGCCTGCTTGTGTCACCCAAGAAGGGGCATTTGGATCAATCACAGCCATCGGTTTATGTGTGTACCAATCACAGCCTTGCCACTTAACAACATTGGCCCACTCCAGGAAATGGAACCCATACCTGACACCGCCAAAGTGTCCAAGAACCCGAGACCAGATAAATCATGGAACCTAGGGGAAAACCTACTACTACCGTTCTGCTAAAGGAACATAGCAATAAAGTGACTCCTAATGACGTTGATATGACTGTTCACAAGATCAGTGCATCTCTCAACCCTCATCAGAGAAGCTTCTTCTTGCAGTAGATGGTAATTAACACAGAGGCCCACAACAAGAATGTGCAGAGAGTGAGAGACTTTGGAGCACTCAGTTCTAAATGGGATGTCTTCAGCAAACTCCTTCTCTCGGGGCTCTATGCAGAAGAGAAGGCAGAAAGGTTGTAAGAGCCAGAGGTGATCATCTTCCAGGCACAACCAAACGGATACACAAATGAACTCACAGAGGCCATGGCGGCATGCACAAGGCCTGCAACAAGTGCAGACCGAACAGATCCCAGGTTCTCAAGCTGTGGGTCGTGACCCCAAATGGGGCTGAATAAAAAACGTGGGGTTGTGAAAAATTTGACAACAGTAAAAGGTTTCTCAAGGGGTCTGAAAAGATGGCTCAGCAGTTAAGAGCATTTGCTGCTCTTGCAGAGGACCTGGCTTTGGTTCCCAGCATGTACATGGTGGCTTCCAACTGTCTGTAACTCCAGTTCCAGATCTGACACCACTTCTGACCTCTGTGAGCTCTTGTGTGCATGTGGTGCACACACATGCACTCTATACACACATGTTTGTGCACACATGCACACACTCACACACACAAAAAAACCAAATTTCAATAAAAGTTTTCTGAAAGTCCAACAACCAATTCAAAATGAAAACATAATGAATCCAAGGTGATTCTGCTAGGCAGGGCTTGCCAGTGTCGATTACCTGACTTCAGTGGGACAGCCTTGGTTCTGAACACACAACACATGCATGCATGTTGTCCTGTGCATCTCCTCAAACCTACACATGGCCCACGAACAGTGCCTGAAACATGTTGCCTCAGAATGGAGACTATGGAATGTCATGCATTGCAGTGTTTTTAAAGCTACAATAATTTTTTTTGTTGCTATAAAAATGAATGATTTAATTACAGAAAACAAAGACTTTTAATATTTTCCTCCCAGCATTCCTCAGCATGTAAGGAACAAATTAGTATATATTTAGACTTGTATTGTGTTAGAATGTTTGATTTCAAAAATTGCTATTTGAGCTGCATACTTGAGTTTCATAAAAAAAAATTGTTAAATGAATGTTGGCTTGGGATTAGGGCAGAATTTCCAACCATTTCTGAGATAGCTCTAAACATTCTTTGTATTTATGCAAAGCAATAGTCCCAGCATTGACAATTAAAAAATTAAAATATTGATCAATTATGAAAAACACTGACAATGTTCTACCTTCTTCGGTATCAAATTTTCAGCAGTATTTGTTTTATGTAAAAACAAACAAGCTCATCCATTTCATTAGAATGCAAATTTGCTCTCATCTTTAATAAATGGAGGAATTATATAGATACCTAAGATTTTCTTAAAAATAAAATTCATTATGACTTATTACCAGCAAACATTTGGTTGGTGTATCTATTTAGTGTACATACACATTTGAGTCATGTGAAATTGTTCAGGTTGAAAGGGGTTGCAAGTGAAAAATTTTGAGCTTTGGCAGGGTCTTCCAGGACTGAAGCTGGCGACAGCAAGGCTGGTATAAATGTCTGAAACAGTGGAGCCTGCGCCTTCAGACGGGGTAAGCAGCCATGTTTGTTGTGCAGTTTTCTCAAGTCCTCTGTCGAGTGAGGGTTCCAGACCACGGGTGCTGAGGGTAGTCTAGCTAACTGTCTGACTAACAATGGCCACTAAGTAGAGTCAGTGTCTTTGCTTATTTACGTTTACAGGAAGATGAACTTCAGAAGGGGTGCTTACAGGAAGAACGTCATAACTTGAGCCTGGGGAGAGGGCTCAGTCGACAAAATGTCGGCACATCATGTGTCCTTATTTGACTGAGAGCGAGCCAGTTAGCCCTCTGGCCTTCTTTCCAAATGTCGCCCATAGGATTTGTCTGGACAAGGGTGGTTTAGGGGTTCATTTGTTGGGGGTGGCTCCGGAATACTATATTCTCTAGTTACTTTCTGTTGCCACGATAAAACACTGATTAAAACCAACTAAGTGGAGGAAAGGGTTCATTTGGGTTGCAAGTCCCCAGTCACAGTCCATCATTGGGGAAAGGTGGAAAACTCAGGAAGGAGCAGAGGCCCAACAATGGAGGAGTCCTGCTTACTGGCTTCCTCTTGATGGCTTGCTCAGCCTGCTTTCTTACAATGTAGGACCACTTGCCCAAGGGTGGTATCCCTCCACAGTGGTCTGGGTGCTGCTACCTATTCAATCATTAGTCAAGGAGATGCCCCATAGGCTTGCCTACAGGCCAATCTGAAAGAAGCATTTTCTCAATTGCGTTTCCTCTTTCCAGGTGATCCTAGTTTGTGCCAAGTTGGCAAAAACTAACCAACACACTATGTCACAGGGAATGGGGATGGGGGTTTGTGGGTGGTAGTGACCTAGGAATCTCATATTAAGATTGAATTGCAATGGGAAAGTGATGTTTTATTCAGTTTCGGTAATACAAGCTTAAAAAAAATCTGTTTTTCCTGGATATGGTTTTATTCACGATTCCTGCAAAGCACCTATCTTGAGACTGGTGGAGAATCAGGAACAGAAGGTACAGCAGAGAGGCCTCTGGGCGGCAGAAACGGTAGTAAATTGATAAAACAATCATTTCAAGAATAGCAGAGCATACAGGCTTGATACCGCACCTTTGAAAAAGGCAAGGGACTGCTGCTGGGATACACTAGATGGCCTGGTTCACCTGCACACAGGGCTGTGCTAAGGGGGCGTGGCTTAGCCTTAAGAAGGCCTTGGAGGTGGGGCGAAACTGCCCGGGGGCGTGGCCGGTCAATAGGCACTCTCCGCGGGTGCGGTCGCGAGGGCGGGAGCGTGGCCCCGCAGCTGTCCGGTGCGCCGCGTTCTCAAGTTCTCAGTGGCGTTGCCGGCATCGTCCCCTGGGCGGCCGCTCGCGTCGCGGTTCCTGAGCAGGCCCGGCTCTGCCGGGAGCGACAACGAAGCCCTGGAGAAGCCACCGTCCCCACCGGCGCCTCCGCGGGCGCAGAAGTCGCCCGGGCTGGGGAAGGCGGCAGTCGCCCCCAACCGCCGCCTGGGCACGGTCCGCGGCGGGCTAATGTCGTCGCCACCGGGCCGCCGCGCCCGCCTGTCGTCCCCTGGGACGAGCCGCCAGACCCCCGACGCCCGCGAGGAGGTGCGGCACCGCCTGAAGGACCTCATCGAGGGCAACCGGGTGATGATCTTCAGCAAGAGTTACTGTCCACACAGCACGAGGGTAGGCGGGGCCGGCCGGAGCGGAGCTATGGGCCGGGCCTGATGGGCAGGGTCTAAGCAATTCCTGGTGGAGGGAGCGAAGTGGATGTGGACCCCTTGGACCTGGTGGGCGGGGCGGCAGGAGCGTGGTGAAGGGGCTGGGCAAGTTCCGTGAGCGGGATCTAGGGGGTCTGGGCGCCAGCTCAGTGGGCGGGGCGGAGGTGGAGTTCCCAGGTTGGCGCCTGGTGGGCGGGGCGGGCGGGTCTGAGCACGCTCAGTGGGCGGGGCGAAGCCAGCGCTCAGGGGTTGGCGCCTGATGGGCGGAACTGTTGGGGGGTCTGGGCGGTGCTCATTGGGCAGGGAGGAATCATAGTTTAGGGACAGGACCTGGTGGGCGGGGCTAATGGGGAGGGTCTGCGTGGAGCTCAGTGGGAGGGACCGAGTGGATGGGGGTCTGGGTGGAGCTTAGTGAGCCGGAGGTCTCGAGTTGACGGGGGCGAAAGGGTGGGCGGGGCCTGAAGGTGGGCGGAGTAGGGCTTTTGTGGCGCTTTCCTAGGCGTGTTTCAGGGAGCTGGTTGAATTCTGAGCATAGTTGCTTACCTGTTCCGACCAGGTCCCAACCTGCAGACCCCTAGACGCTTGCCTTCCAGCCTGATATGGGCTTATCAAAACTTAAAAAAAAAAGAAGAGCGTTTAAAATTGTACTACTAAAATGAAAGAGCGAGGGATAGCGAGGTTCGCTGAAGCTGGATCCAGATCACGCTTATTAATTAGCATGTTTGGCTCCTTGACCAGGTTTCAAAACGAGGCGGGGCCTTGGCTTCCACTTTTTTTTTTTGAGTGTTGGGATTAAAGGCGTGTGCCACCGCCGCCGGGCGACTTCCACTTCTAAGATGAAGGTCGAGGAGGTTTTAAGTCGAGACTATTTTAAACTCTGTTGCACACTCCGTAATTTGGGGCTAGGTGGACATTCAGCATTGTTACCATACTATGAGTTAAAAAAATCATCGTCTTAGAAACAAACCTTTGGAAGGAAGATGCAAGATGGGGATATTCAATATTTTGATGTTTACTTAACATTATCAGGAAGTTAAGGGCCTGATGTGTGACTTAGTGGAAGCAAGGCCGTGGGTTCCATTTCTAGCACTATTTAAAAGAAAAAAAATAGATGTCTATGCCAGCCTGGGCTACTATAAGAGTCCCTGTCACAAGAAACAGAATGAATATTGCCAGCTCTAGGACCCAGGTTCGATCCCCAGAACTCATAAAAGTGATGAGCATAGTGGAGTGCACTTTACCCCAGTGCCTGGAAGTTAGAGGCAGGTAAGTCCAGACGACCTAACCTCTATGCTTCAGGCCAGTAAGAGACTTCATTGAGAAGAAGGTGGACAGACAGAGCATCTTCCTTGGAATGGCACCTGAGATTGTCCTCTGGCCTCCACAGCTGCAACTGCACACACACACACACACACACACACACACACACACACACACACGTATTCATTTTAAAAACTAGTAGAATGACACTGGCAGCATGGAGACTCCTGGATGTTCCCTCCCTCCCCACAGGGTAACCGCATTCCCTGTTCTTCTCTGAGTCACTAGATGCCTGCACACCACCGGCAGTACTCTGTTCCTTTTGGCCTGCGTGGGCCTTTTTGTAAGTAGGATCACATACTGTTTTACAGTTGTTCCTTCAGCAGTTTTGCTTAGAGACTCATACATGTCAGTACCTGTAGCTCTGCTTCGTTGCTTCTCACTGCTGTGACGTTCCCTAGGCTAGCATTGAACTTGTGGTAATCCTCCTGCCTCAGCCTCTCAAGTGTTGGGATTACAGACATGAGCCACCACAACTGGCTGAGTATTTTGATCTTAAAAACAATATGGCTTGATGCCTATCCTTGGGTACATCTAGAAGCACACCCCTGACCGTCTTATCTAGGTAGCACTCGATCTTAGCTGAAAAGTCTAGAAGCGATGGGTGTCTTTTGGCTGATCGATTCGTGGAATCAATCACGGGGTCAGGGCGTTTCCAAATGCTTACACCAATTTGGCCTGTGCTAGTGAGTGTGTTACAGTTCTTGCTCTGCAGCTTTGCTGACAGCTGCTGTTTTTCACTTTTGTAGTTCTGGTACATAATACTCTTTCTTTGTGGCTTGAATTTTTCATTTTCCTAATAAAGTCGGTATGCTTATGACACCTTTGAGTTTTCTCTTGCGAACCATTAAGACCATTATTCTTGTTTTTCTTTTGTTGTGCTGATTTGTAGGTTTTCTTTATATATTATAAATACTAGTCCTTTGGGAAATGTTGGGAAATCTCCCAGACTGTCTTTATTGAGTCTTTTGGTAATTGAGGTTTGTGAGTTCTGCACAATGAGACCTGTCCCACTTCACTTCCCTTTCATGGTGTGTGGCTTTCAAGTCTTATTTAGGACTTATAAACACATTCTTCTGATTTGGCTCCTGCAAGTTTTGTAGTATGATTTCCACACTTGTTTTCTTTAATCCACTGGGAGTTAGTATTGGTAAAATTCAGTTATTTATGATCTCAGCTGCTCCTGTTTTATACACTGAGGAGTCCTTCCTTTCCATCAATCTGATCTTCATATGTGCTGGTCTCTTTCTTGATGTGTGTGTGTGTGTGTGTGTGTGTGCACATGCATGTGTGTGTGTTGGGGGGGTTGGTTTTTAGCAGGGAGCAAAGACTCTTCTTGAGGCAGGGTCTCTTAACAGTCCCTGCTTCAGTTTGGATGGTAGGTCTTCCAGCCAGTTCCTGGGTGTTTTTTTTCTAGGACGTACACATCCTGGAAACCTATCTTTTGGTGACCATTCACTGGCTGATTTTGTGGTGGTTTGTTCATGGGCTTATTAAATGTATGACCCACAATCCACTGCTGTTTACACATATGGTCCATACAGTAATCAAGAAGAAAGATTTGTCCCTTTATTGAAGTGATAATGACATTTAACAAGCATTAGTTGTTGGGTACTTAGCACTGTAGAGATGTGAACATGGGTCTGGCCCCCCAGGAACTCACAATAGCCAAGCAGCCACCAGCCAGCTCTCAAGTGCAGAAAGAAGAGCTTGTGATAAACAAGGGCTGTGGCAGTAAGGCACACAGTAGCTACTTCAGACGATCTGGATGGGCTAAGGAAAGGACAGGTGGGTTTGTCCTCCAGGGTAAAGAGGAGGTGTGCCTGTAAGGGAAGGCACTTGACATAGGAATTTATGTAAGCGAAGACAAGAGGAAGGAAGTGTGGCTGAATATAAGGAGTAAGAAAGGAAACGAGTGAGGGCTCCCTGGAAATGGCTGGAATTTAATTTCAAAGGTTTAAGTGTCTCAAGATGTTTTACTGATAAGTGTGGACTTAAGATTATTAAGATTATGGTTATATGTTAACCCAGAGCTGAAAGGACTGACCTGGCTGTCACACAAAACCCAGCAAGCTGTGGAGACAGATGGACTCCCAGGCAAGATAACCCGGACTAACCCAGGGCAAAATACCTTGATTTTTTAAAACACATTTGTCACATCAGAAGAGTAGAAGCCAATGATACTGTGTGCGGAGAGTGGAGGAAGCCCTGAGTGAATGTTTGCTGTTGACATGGGCAGCAGCCATGCCAAGGACTCACGTCTCAAACCTGTAGGAAAATGGCAAAACCTTCCCCAGGCTATGCTCAGAGAAATGACAAAGCCTTCCCTCCTGGTCTGAGTGCTAAAATAAGGAGTGTGTGCATAGAATGTCCATCCTAGTTTCCTTTTCCTACCTCCCTGGATATTTGCAGCCTAGAAGACTGCTCCCTTCCAGAGACTGTTCCTACTAATGTTGGTTAAACTTGCGTCCTTGGCTCACCTGTCTACCATAATCCTTGCCTCCTTGGTTCAGCTGTATGCAATAACCGTGCACGCCAACCCCCCACCGTTTCACCTCTATATGATAAAATGCTTGGGTGGGTGAAGGGATGCTGAGGTTTCTCCATCTGAGGACTAGACCACCATTTTTGTGTATCTGTGTGTTTGTCTTTTCTTCATTCCCTTGTCACCTTGAGTCAGGTTCAAGTCCCTGGAACCACGTGCAAGGACTCAGCAATTAGACAGAGTCACATTGTTGGCTCTCATCACCACAGTCCATCTCCAGAACTTTTCAATCTGAAATTCTAAACTCAACAACACAGTAACTAATGTTTCTACCATCCCAGCCCTCACCAACCATCTCACCAAAAAGTGAGTTTGACCACTCCAAGTGCCACATATAAGTGACATCATCATTCAGCGTTTGGCCTTTTACATCTGGCTTGTTTTGCTTAGTGTAATGTCCTCAAGGTTAGTCCATCTTGGAGCATGAGCTGGAATTTTCCTAGTTCCTCAGGGTAAATAATAAACCATTGTGTGTGTACGGGTACCTTTCCTATCAATCCAGGCACCAGTTGATACATGCCTTGCTTGTGGCTGGTGTGAGTGATGGTGTAATGAACATGAGTGAACACATGAATGTTGTGGTATCTTTAATTGTAGTTTTCTGAGGAATTGTTGTCCTTTGCCATGGTGGCTGCCCTCATTCACCGGCAGATTTAGCCTGTCTCTCTAATGGCTGTCTCCGCCTCCTCTTTCTTTCCTGGTAGTCCATCTCCATTGCCTTTGAGCTGGAACTTCCCACAGCCTGTTTCAAAAGAAGTTACTCAGGAGCTCTCTGCTGTGGTGGCCTGCCCCTCCCCTTGCAAAACCCCTGTACCATATTCCTGAGCTGGAGGTGGGGATGGTTCCTAATGGTCCTGGAGCATCTGCTCTTCCTGGCTTACTCTTCTCTTCCTGGGACTTGACCTTACACAGAGAGTATGGTGAGCACCCTAGGATTTTCCACCAGCTACCTATGTAGAGGGTTTGACCTCAAATAGGGTTGAGTGCTTTGAAGCTTCTGTGACTCAGAGCTGAGAGATGCTGGCGACCTGCCATTTGAGGAGATGCTATTTTGGAGCCACACTCACTTGAAATAGAGTTCTTGCTATAGGAGAGGAGAAAGGGGCAGGACCAGGCTACAGGGCCATAGACTCTGCTTTTCCTTAGGAGATTTTCTGGAATAAATGTTCATTTGCAGAATGCTTTTAGGAGATTTCCAAGACACGAAAGGGTTACTCTTAGGTAATTATCATGGTTACAGATGTGTCATCTGCTTAGACCTTGGAGCCTCTGGGTTTTACTCAAGGGTGGAGGGTGTTTAAGGGTGGTGTCACAAAATGGCTATGAAAAGACAAGTCAGTGGCTGCCACTGGGTGAACTGGAGAAGACAAAGCTGGGAACACCTGAGATGGAGTGACTGTTGGGAACTCGAGAGTGGAACAGTTCAACAGAGAACTAAGACTTAGCCATTGCCGTCCGTGGATGGGGGGGGGGGGGAGGAGGTTAGTGTGACCTGGAAGATGTCTGGGAGGCAGGTGTGCAGGTGAAGCCTAGCCAGAGCTTTGCACAGTGGTTACCATGCAGATTTGATGCTGAATGACTCATAAGCTCTGGGTAATACCCACACTGTCGTCTCTCAGTCAGACTCTGGGGCATTTTGATGGGCAGCTGGTAAATGGGCTATAGTTAAACTGTCATCATGCTACTGAATTCTGTCCTAGAAGGCAGAGAGTGTGTCTGGTTCATCGTTGCATTTTGTGGACTTGGAATCATGGTTGACTGGTCCTAGATGCTTGATGGTTGATTTAGTTGGAGGAACTTAATGGCTGTTGAGAGGAAGCACAGAAAAAGGAAGCGACATGGTTGAAGAAGATTTGCACTGAGGCATAGCACCCGTGGAGGAGTGCCATGAACCTGTCCTGAACCAGAAAAGAGATTTGGGCAGAAAAGTTCATTAGGAGTCATAAGGAGACAAAGAGTAAAAGAATGGAGGTGGCAGACAGGGTTATTCTGGGGAAGTATATGGAGGAAAATGAGAACACTGTGGGCCAGAACTCATGTCCCTAAGATTGCCTGTGTTGGGCAGCTCTTATCACTGTATGTCACATGAACACCTTTCATAGCTGCTGAACCTTTTGAGAGCAAGAGGCTCACAATGGTTTCTCTTTCAGGTTAAGGAACTCTTTTCATCCTTAGGAGTGGACTACAACATCCTGGAACTTGATCAAGTTGGTGAGTAGCTGTCAGCAATGCTGCTATTTGTAGTAAGTGCCAACATGACTGTTCCACTTTGTTCAACTCACTGTTTTTCCATGTCTGTCTGTCAAATGAGCTTTTGTTTGTGTTCAAGCACACAGAAGATGAACCTTCATGTGACAAACAATTTGATAAAGATTTTCCATATTTGAGGGCAGGAAATAGGAAGAGCTGTGGGCTGCTAACTTTAAAGTGTTTGAGGCATTGGATACTTGCCTGCCAGCATTCTACAAAATCAATTAAACTGTCATAACGAAAGGAGTCCACTCCATTTCCTGGTTGCATTACCCATGGGGAAGAGCATGTTAAGTTTTCAGCTTAGTTTTGAATCTTTGTCTTCCATGGCCATGGCAGTCACTGAACACTTCACATCTGCTATTCTTTGCAGGAATTTGGGATGGGATAGTGACCAGAAAAGACCTTCAACTTTGCCTTCATGGCACCGGCTTTTCACCAAGTTGCTTTAAGAAGCAAAGTGCTCTTGTTTCTTACCAATAAGTGCCAAGTCCCAAGTGTCATGACCCCGTTGCATCTTCCAAGAAGAAGGGTGGATTGCAGACCATACTTACAAAAACTTTTAAATGTAATCATAGGAAGCATTTTCTTGTTAGTTGTTATAACAGGTTTCACTTGAGTTTTGCTCTCTTAAAGGATACTTGTCCCTTGTTTGTGGCAGAGCTATTGTGTATGCAAAAGCTAACCCAAATGTTTTGTCCTAACAGCAATCCATAGGTAGGCCTTTGTGTTTAAGGTGTCCTCTGAAGGTGTAGCTGCTTTCTCATCTTGAGTCATTATTTCATGAAGTCATGGAGCACATTGGCCTGTCACGGATGTGAACTTGTAAGCAACGAGCAGTGAGCATCGTAAGACTTGAGCTCTGCAAGGGGATCCTTTATAGTGTCTTCATATACTGTTTCATTCTTCAGATGATGGAGCCAGTGTTCAGGAAGTGCTGACAGAAATCAGTAACCAGAAAACAGTGCCCAATATTTTTGTGAATAAAGTGCACGTGGGCGGATGTGACCGAACTTTCCAGGTAATGATCGTCATCACTCATGGTCCTCGACACTGTTTGTTCACATTGTAATTATCAGTGTCAAAGTCACCAGGTGACCCTGAAGACTGCCAGGGAAGTGAGCTTTCCCACCAACTAAACCTGAGAAGTTACACAGTGCTGACCCAGGCACAGGAGGGCCATTCTTAGCCTGAAGTCAGAGTGGCTGTGACCATTACAGGACTGGGTCCATCACCACTCCCTCTTGTGTGTGTATGTGAGGAGGGAGCATCATGAGGCTCATGAGGGGTTCACAGTGGCTCCGGAGCAGCTCATGACTCAGGAGGTGGCTCATGAGGCCCCATCCCTTCCTAGAGATAGATAAGCTGTTAATTCCCATGAAGACAGACCCTTCTTCAGTAGTGCAGCTGACAGCAAGTCCACACTCCCCTAAGCAGCCCAGTTAAACTCATGAGTTCACTAAGCCACACCTGGAATCATATCTTTGTTTTGCCCTATCTGTGGTAAACAGATTTGTTCACGTAGCCCCAGGAAGAGCAACAGGTAGGTCACTGGGGCCAGGACAAGTCTCTTCCTCCTGATAGCGGGTGAAACATGCTGTTCTCCAACAAGAGTTGGTCAACACAAACACTGTTTTCCAGTGAGTTAGAACCCCTGTCAGGGGTGCCAATACTGGGTGCAAAGCATGGGGCTTTAACTTCTTGATTCTTAGAATGTGGCCATTGGGAAAGAAACATTGAGAGGTGTGTGATAAAGGAAGCCACCCAGCACAGCTGTGGAATGAAGGGTCAGTTTGTGAGAGATCATGAAGACAGCTGTTGATGCATAAAATCCAGGTTTCAAATGAAGACCAGTCCAGAGGACAAGGGCTGGAAAAGTGACACTTGATCATTTATCTGTGGAAAGTGGCCTCATTTGACATGATAACTGTCAGAATGTCTAGGTCACAGTGGACATAAATATATATATGTTGGCATAAGTTGTACTCTACTTAGATCTAGGTAGATTTACAATCTCAACACAAATGTTTTGACCCATCATTCCTGAGGTTTTTCTTCACTTTTCTTTTTGGTGCCAGGAACCAGACGTGGGGCCTTGTGTTCCACCACTAAGCTAAATCCCCAGCATTGAGTATTTTTTTAAAAACATTTTTCATTTTTAAGTTTGTGTGTGTGTGGAGTGGAGTATGCTTGTGTGAGCACATGCACAGATGTCTGCAGGGGACAGAAATGTCAGGTCCCCTGGAACTTCAGTTTCCAGCAGTTGCTTGCCAACCATCTTGGTTCCTAGGAACTGGACCCAGTTTCTCTGCTAGAACAATATGTGCTTTTGACTGATGAACTGTCTTTCCAGCTCCAGATTTGTTTAGACAAAGAATCCATGCTGGTTGAAAATGGAGTCATGTGCTATTCTGTCTCCTTTGGTAATCTGTAGGCACATAAGAACGGTTTACTGCAGAAGCTCCTTCAGGAAGACTCGGCTCATGATTATGATCTCATCGTCATTGGCGGGGGCTCTGGCGGCCTCTCCTGTGCAAAGGTGTGAACACAAGTGAACCATCAATGACTTTTCTGAAAGTTAACTGTAATTTTGCAATCTAGGCTTTTATAATAACTGGTTTGATTGGGGGTGGAGGAGTATCTGGCAAATTCAGACTGTTCACTTAAGGGAGAGAAAAATGGGAGAGAGAAGGTGGCAAGACACTTTTTATGTGGTTGTTTTTGTAGGAAGCTGCCAACTTGGGAAAGAAGGTCATGGTGCTAGACTTTGTGGTCCCATCGCCTCGGGGCTCATCCTGGGGTAAGCTGTAGTTCCTGCTTGGCCTTTTAAATTTATCTATCTATCTATCTATCTATCTATCTATCTATCTATCTATCTATTTATTTAATGTGCATTGGTGTTTTGCCTTCATGTATGTCTGTGTGAGGGTATCAGATCCCCTGGAACTATAGTTACAGACAGTTATGAGCTGCCATGTAGGTGCTGGGAATTGAACTTGGGTCCTTTGGAAGAACAGCCAGTGCTCTTAACTGTTGAGCTATCTCTCCAGCCCTTGTCCTATGCTTTTACAGGCAGCTTCTTTCCTGTAATCTCATGTAACCCTGCCTGGTCTCAGGAGGGTGAGCCCTCCAACGGTGTAGACTCTGCAAAGGAACATGCTAACAGTTCAGCTTTATAAAAAGGAAGGCGGTTCCGTGGCCCAGCACCCACACTTCTGCCATAGATTTTTTGGCTTACATGCACTGGTACTTTCACATTGTTGCAGGCACAGTGCATATGCTGTGTCCTGCTCACTCTCTGTTTCTGCCTTAGTCTCACAGCTGGGCTTGATGGCTGTATAGTGGCTGCTATTGTCATTGTCCACCATCATTATTCTTTGGTTGCATGGTACATGGTCCCGGCCATATACCTCTGCTGTGTGCTGCAGGGCACAGTGCTCACCTTGCTGTGTGGGGTTTTTTCCTCCTTCTCAATAAAATAGAACATACAGATTTTGTGCAGAATATTCATGTATGTTTCAATGCATTCTTTTGTCTCTGGTCTGCTCTGGCCTAGAACCCTGACCACTGGTTGTCTCTGTTTTTCTGGTTTCAGGTTGGGCTTTGTCAGTTTGGAGCAGGGGACAGGGAAGGGAAGCTAGGGTCCTGACACTCTTGGCCTCATCGTCGGGAAGGCCACACATGGTTGATGCCACTGTCCTGGGACTCACTCTGGCTCCTTGCCCCTTCTCGTGGCCACTGCTATTGCTAACTTTGGGTACTGCTCTGACCTTTGTTACTCTCCTGTCCCAACTGTGCCCTCATTGCTCTGTGGACTCTATCCTGTACCAAGCCTGACTGTGCTGTCTCGTAAATGTAGGGAAAGTATGGGGAAAAAACAAAACCAAAACCCAAAAGCACTGTTTGAAATTCAAGCTAATTCAAAAGCTTTAGCCTAGAATTCCCAGGGTACAGCAGCACACCTTGCTTGTTCTTTGACTTGTCTGGGTGTACCCTTGACCTTTTCCCTCCTGCCTCTTCCCTGTTTCTCTCCTCCCCCATCCAGAAAAGATCCTGCTAATCTGTGGACTGGAAGAGATTGCAGCTGGAGAGAATTCCTTACTTGGGTCCTGCCAAGGGGTGCACTGGCCTGGCCTGTTTCATGTGGGGCACATGGGGCACACAGGCCAGGCCTGTTTTATGTAGGTCACATGCAGAGTAGATGCCACCAGGCAGCTTTTGCGGACTGACAGTTGGCTCAGAGGAGTGAGGGTTAGAGAGGCTAGAAGCTGTCTTTCCAAGGGTGCAGTGCTTATCTCGTTAGCCAGGGTGGCTCTCATCCCTTGAGCACCAGACAAGTGCGTTCTGTCTCCAGAACTCTTCATGTAGACTTACATTTTCACTCATTATTGGGTCTTCTCTGCAGATTGCAAGTTAGATAGTTGACTTATCCATTTTTGCCTCATTTGGAGGATGACAGTTGTCCCTGCCACCGCCAGAACTTATCTTCTTACATATTTTAATAACCCCACATTGATGTGAGAAACATCATACAAGCACGCTTGCTACACAGGGAATGTTGACATGTCGCTTTCTTTTCAGGCCTGGGCGGCACCTGTGTCAATGTGGGCTGTATTCCTAAGAAGCTGATGCACCAGGCAGCCCTCCTGGGGCAGGCCTTGCAGGACTCGAGGAAATTTGGCTGGGAGTATAACCAGCAGGGTGAGTGGGGGTTGGTAAACCTAGACAGGCTGAGTCCACGTCTCTGCAGTTGGTTCTGACAGTCACTCATAAGCATTCCTTAGGTGTGACTACTCTGCCCTTCAGTTGCAGAGGCCACAACTATCCAGCAGCTATCCTGGGACTTAGACCTAGAGACAAAACTTGAACAAGTCCAGCAGAAGGTGAAAGGCAGTGATGGCCATTTTCATTTTTTCCAGTGTGAAAAAAAATAGAACAAAAGTTTGTTATAGCGGTATGGTGTTGAGTCTGTGTTAAGCATCTTGGCTGAGTCCCATTCCTGTTTGCTGTTGAGACTCTGCCATGTGAGATAATGATAACAGATCCTGCCCAGAAGTAACAGCATCTCTGCAGAGCACGTGAGGGGTACCTGGCGCACCCTGCAGCATCAGAGGAGCACCAAGAAAAGCTTTGAGGATGAAGTAACCCTTGACCCGTGTTATGTTAGCCACCGCCCCCCCTTTGACAGGTCTTGCTCACTATGTTCCCCAGGTGGGATTTGAACTCGTAGGCTCAAGTGATCCTCTTACCTCTACCTCCTGAGTAGCTGGGATGACAGGCATGTATCACCGTGCCCAGTTCAAGCTGCATCTTGAAAGTCACAGGTTGGCCAGAAGTGCAGATGTGAGAAAATCCGGTCTCTGGGGGGCAGAGTGAAGGTGGTGGAAGAGGTGACCTCAGAGAGCCAAGCAGTTAGCTTTACCTGAGAGGTAAGGGGGGTTGAGCTCAGGCAGGAGAGAGGCCCAGGCCACAGCTTGGAGTCCAAATCCCTGCTGAAGCACTAAGGAACTTAGAAAGGGGAAGAGAAGGGAGAGATGAGGCAAGAAATGCCACAGGTCTGAGCAAAGATGCTGAGCTGAGAGTGGGAGGTGGATTTAGGGAGGCTGGTGATGCAGACGTGATTGGCTGTGGTGGCCAGCTAGACACAGAGGTAGTCTTCATGGTGGCCCTGTCGGAGGATCTCGTGGAGGTTTTCAAAACCATGAATGAGTCGGCTCTCTCCAAAGACCTTGATGCCAATGTGGGTAGTGCCAGTATTACAGGTGACTGATAGCCATAGACCCAGCAGATTCTCTAAGGCGGAGGAGAGAGGCAGGCATTAGGTTGTACACTGGGTGTGGGCCGTGAGTAGTAGTTCAGTTAGTAGCTGGGATCAGTTGAGTAGTAGTTCAGTTAGTAGCCGGGATCAGTTGAGTAGTAGTTCAGTTTGTAGCTGGGATCAGTTGAGTAGTAGTTCAGTTAGTAGCTGGGATCAGTTGAGTAGTAGTTCAGTTAGTAGCTGGGATCAGTTGAGTAGCTGGATGTGGTAGCTGAGACTAGACCCATTTCACCAGGTGACTCACTGGAGAGTATTAATTTAGGACCTACTGGTTGTAGATGGAATCAAGTCTCTCTTTGCAGGTTGGTTTCTGGGTGGGATTTCTGTATTTAAGAATACTCCTCCACTGAAAGCATCTGCAGAATGTCCTAGAAGGTTGCTCTCTGGAGAAGGGTCTCCTGGAGAGAGAGCTGAGCAAGAGCTGTGACGCAGAGTCACAGCATATGGTGATAAAGTGGGGACAGGGGATGTACATAGACTGACAAGACTAGGAAACAGATGCAGAGTCACCACATATGGTGATAAAGTGGGGACAGGGGATATACATAGATTGACAAGACTAGGAAACAGGAGGCTGGAATAGTTTAAGACTCGAGAAAAGTTGAGACTGTGTAACTATACTAAGTGAATCTAAACTAAAAAAGTGCATCCCATAGAGGTGACCCAAGTGACAAGCATGAGTGTCTTAAAGGAGTATGTGTTGCTTCTGAGGGCTCACAGTAGGTAACAAGAGGGGCCTGGCCAGAAGTATAGTGGTGACCCAAAGGCATTTATGAAAACCTCACACCTACTGTGCTTTAAAAAACTCTGATAGTAAGGCTAACATTGAAACTTCTTTTCAGGATGAAGAGTGGAAAGCAAAGATTTATTGAAGAGCTTGATTCTGTGTTAAATATGAATTGGAGCTGCCTAGTACATGGTCACAGTGCCCAGAGCCACCGAGTACATGGTCACAGTGCCCCAGAGTCACCTAGTACATGGTCACAGTGCCCCAGAGTCACCTAGTGCATGGTCACAGTGCCCCAGAGTCACCTAGTACATGGTCATAGTGCCCCAGAGCCACCTAGTACATGGTCACAGTGCCCTAGAGTCACCTAGCATGTGGTCACAGTGCCCCAGAGTCACCTAGTACATGATCATAGTGCCCCAGAGTCACCTAGTACATGGTCATAGTGCCCCAGAGCCACCCTGTTTACAGCTGTAGTGCCCCAGAGCCATCTAGTGCTTGGCCACAGTGCCTCAGAGCCACCCCATGCATGACTGTAGTGCCCTTGGCAACTGCACAGGGAATATGAACAGGAAAGAAAGGATATCTGCTTGTAAAGGGTTAATGGGGGAAAGGTCTAACTTTATGATATGATATATCTAGAACATATAAAAGATTGAGCTTAGCAATATTAGAATTAATTAGTTCAGTTAGTGTGAAAATCACATTTCTTACTTGCCAGCCATAACAAGCTAAAAATATAGTGAAAAATGACAAAAATGATGAGATGCCTTGGAGCAAAGCTAACGGTGTACATGGGAAGACTGTTAGTGCACACCAAAAAGTGCTGTGAATTAGAGGGGTTGTCTCAATATTATGAAGAGGCCATATCTCAAGATTAGCTCATGACTATGCAGACCCAGCACAATCTGAGACTTTATTTCCCCCCTTCAAAGCTCAAAAGTGATCATTTTAAAGTTTATATTGAAAAATAAACCTGTGAGACTAGCTGAGCTTTTTCTGAAGAGAGGGTGACTTTTTGCATCCAATTTAACAGTGAAGGAATAAACACAGCCAGGCCCTAGATTTGACCGGTCTCCTAGGAAAGCTCAGGGGATCTAGGACTTGGTTATTTGCAGGATATGCAGGCCGATGTACAGCTGTGTTTGAAACTCTTACCTTTTACAGAAAAGGTTGTTTGGCTTGTGAAGAGAATGGACAGGACCCCTGCAGTCAAAGTTCCCCAGAGGGTTGGAATGAAAGGTCTTCTAGGGCTGGAGTTTGCAAAAATGTGCCACTGTGGAGAACATTGCATCATGAGGGTATGCAGTAACGAAAGTGACCTATCCAGGCTGCAAACCCCTAGAGCTCTCCTTTTACGCTGGTGCCATGGAAGGCCGATGTCCACACTGACTGTGCTGGGGGCTGGGGAGGGGCTTTCTAAGAGAGAGAGAGAGAGAGACGCGACCCCACCCCTCAGTTGCTGGTGTGTTTTCTGGACTCTCATCCAGTTATGACCAGATTGCCCAGACAGGCCCTTGTGTCTTCTGAATGTGGAGTTACACAGAGGTGGGTGTGAACCTCCATATCTAGTACCCATAGAAAAGATGCATTCCTACCTAGAAGAGGTGGGGTAGAGGAAAGGCCCAGCAGTTGAATCCTAGCCTCATATCAGAGAGAACTGGTCGATAATGTGAGGCAACTCTGAGTTCAAGTCTCATTTATTATAAAGAAGTATAAGGACCTGGTAGAGGACTTACCTAGTGTGCAGGAGGCCCCAGGTTCCATTCCCAACACTGAGAAAACAAACAAACAAAGATACTGTCATGAAAGCATCTCACAGGGAGCCAAATGGGAGTGGAAGCGGGCAAGGCCAGCCAGGTGAGAGGACTGTGGTCACTGACTGTCACTGTCTGCTGGCTGGACTCCCCTGGCTCTCTACCTAGATCCTGGTGTTCAGCAGGATGTGGATTCAGACAGGAAGGAGCAGCAGCAGATGGCGCCCTCTAGTGTTACAGTTCTTGGGCTTAACAGGGAGGGATGGGTATCTTGGTAGGCTTAGGAGCAGGATGGGTGTTGCAGCTTGCTGGCTGCTGCCCCTCACAGCTCCACAGGCATCTCTGACTCTTCAGGAGTCATTGCCACCTCTGCCCCTTGGTCAAGAGCTCTGGTGGTTTCCATAGCCCTAACCTTGGCCTCTAGTTGTCTGTTGCATACAGAACAGCCCTGACTCCTTTGCTGCCAAGGCCTTGTTAGGAACATGGCTCCCCCTTTCCTGTTGCCTGGCCTGCTGGCTGCTCTCCACAGCTCCACCTCTGCTGCAGCTGTTACGGCGGTGGCTGCTCCACAGTCTGCTGTCCCTGCTGTTGTTTTCAGCTCAGCCTGCTCTACTAAAAATAAGCAAGGACGACACCTCAGGATAAGTGTTTTCCTTGGCCTAATATTGCAACCCTAGGGGATGCAGCGGAGGAGTCTTTTTGCAGATGATTCACTGTATGAGGGCATGTCTTAGTTAGGGTTTCTATTGCTGTGAAGAGACTCCATGACCACAGCAACTCTTATAAAGGAAAACATTTGTTTGGGGTGGCTTGTGTACAATTCAGAAGTTTGGTCCATTATCGTCATGGTGGGAAGTAAGGCAATATGCAGGCAGACATGGTGCTGGAGAAGGAGCTGAGAGTTCTTACATCTTGATATGTTGTAGGCTCCAGGAAGTGAACTGAGAAACTGGGTGTGGCTTGAGCATATATGAGACCTCAAAGCCTGCCTCCACAGTGACATACTTCCTTCAACAAGGCCATACCTACTCCAACAAAGCCACACCTCCTAATAGTGCCACTCCCTTTGGGAGCCATTTTCTTTCAAACCACCACAGGGGGGCAGTCTTTATGTTCAGAGGAAGGGCATTGCCACCACAAAGACAAACTTTTCATGCAAAGGAAGGTTTCTGTTTGCATCAGTCATAGTCACATTATTGTCCCTTTTAGCACCAGGCACAGCAGTCTCTACTGGGTCACTAGACGAACTCCCACTCTGGCCTGGGAAAGTGGCTACAGAGTCATCAAGTGTTCACCAAGGCTTGTGACAACAGAAAGTCCAGTGCAAACTGAGTCAGCTTGATGGGGCTGTGCCTTCAGGAGCGGGAGCAAGCGGCTGTGATGGGTGCACAGCTTCTTCAGGGTGTCTGTAGAATGTTCTGAATGGCTGGTGGTGACATGAGAGTAGTCCCACTGGCTGTTCGTCCTCTTGTTTAAGGCAGCCAGGGCTTAACTGCTACTAAGGAGGGAATCAGATCACTCATCTCCAGACCTCCTTGTTTATCTATAGGAAAATGGACAACGGAAACAAAGCTTGTATTGTGAACTTCTTACACTGTGATTTTAACAATGTTGTACAATGCTCCACACCTGCCTGTGCCCCAGGGCGAGGTGGGTTTCCTTGTCTGTCTCAACCCAAGAACTTCTTCCCACCCAATGGGATGAAGGAAGCAGGCTCCATGGTGTAAGAAGGGTTTCTGGGAGATGCTTCCTGACAGAGTGGCTCTCCCTTGCATGCTGGGCATTGCCACGTGGGGTGTGCACTTCTCCGTGGCTTTTTCCCTTTTTCTTCTCAGAACTCGGCGTCTTCTCCCACACTTAGTAATGTAAAGCAGGAAGAAGGAAGCATAGCAGGCCCAGGAAAGAGTTAAGCTATACCATGTTCTTGCTCTTTAAATCAGTGGTGTGGCTCATGTGTGGTCACATGCAATCTGTCTGTGTGTGGTGGTGCACACATAATTCCAGGAGGCAGGAGCATCACAAGGCCCGCCTGGGCTGCAGAGAAGCACCCTGTTTCAAAAATGAAAGAAACATCAGCACCAAACCTCACTGTGTACTTTCCCCTGGTTATTTTCCAGTGAGACACAACTGGGAGGCCATGACAGAAGCGATCCAGAACCACATCAGCTCCTTGAACTGGAGCTATAGGCTGACCCTTCGCGAGAAAGGCGTGGCCTATGTCAACTCCTATGGGGAGTTTGTCGAGCTACATAAAATAAAGGTACTGCCTGGATTCGCCAGGTTCTTTGTCTTCTACTTGGCCTTGAGCGGAAAGTAAAATTCCATGTTGCACATTAAGGACTGCAGCTGGCCTGTCACACACACATGTGGCCTCACATACGTGCTTTTCACACCACTGCTTGTTGATTACATGTCAAGATAAACTGTAGCACGTGCATTTTAAAGAACATTTAAAGATATTGTTTGCCTTTCATCTCATTGTTATTCAAAATATTTAAACAGCTCGAAGTACAAAAGACTAAAAGTAAATATTTCAGCAGCGGGGAGCTTTTAGAAAATGAAAACACAACCTGCAGTCTGCAGTGTCCAATAGAGGCGACTTTACATGGTTCCATATGTGATGTTTATATACTGTCAGATCTCTGTAAAGAAATGAGGTCATTTGGATGACCACAGAAATTTTAAATTGGAGTTAGGAAAAAACATCAGCCATTGCCCTCTGTGGATCCCTGTGCGATCAGCATCACCCTCGACATCTGGACAGTTTTGTACTTTTCTTTGCAAACACAGCATGAGATGATCTTGACAGAATCTTAGGTTCTTTTGTAGTCAGTTGTTAGACCAGTGGAGAAGGGTGCGGGCTGGTCAATTTGAAGTTGCCCCTTCAGACCTTCCAAACTCTGTAGCAGCATGAGGGAGTTTGTTTCTCAGACTGTCCAAGGCCTGGCAGATGGTCCAGTTGCCCTGCCCCACCTAGCCTCCTCTGGGGATGTCCTCTCCCCCACAGCTCAAGCTCAGAGCCTCCCCCTCCTACCCTCACTTGTCTGCTTCACAACTGTCCTAAGGAGCCACTGACTCGAGGTGTCGCCTTCCACCTGGTTGTGTCATCCACTTGTTTAAATGCCATCGTTGGCATTGGAATTTCTTACCTGGAAATGTGTTTTGAATTATTCATGCAATCACAAATAACCAGTAACTCTTGCTGGCTCTCCTTAGTTGAAGATCCATGGCATGGTATGTGAGGGCCTTCATTTTTAGCTCCAACCTTCCTTCCAGGCTTACACTTCTAGGTCATTCAGGGCAGGGATGCAAGGAGGAGCGGAGGCAGGAACCATGGAAGAAAGCTGCTTACTGGCTTGCTCCCGGCTCGTGGTCAGCTGGCTTTCTTACACAGCCTGCCCAGGATGGTACTGCCTTCCCACATCAGTCATCAGACAAGAAAACTCAGCGTGGACTTACTCACACCGGTCTGATAGAGGCAATTCCTCAGTACTCTTCTTGTCTCCAGGTCTTCTGTGAAGCCCCCCTAAACTGGCTTTGTAGTCTGCCACCCCAGCCCCAGAGTGAGGCTGTGGCCACTGTGCTGTGTCGACTTGAGCCGTCTGTGTGGGGCCAGTCACATAGCACTGCTGGCTTCTGCATCCCCGTCACTCCTGTTGAATGAGAGGCTGCGAGGGTGGTGATGAGATTGCTAAGATTGATTTTCCTTTATTTCAAGGCTACCAATAAGAAAGGACAGGAAACGTTTTACACTGCTTCCAAGTTTGTCATAGCAACAGGTGAAAGGCCACGGTACTTGGGAATCCAAGGAGATAAGGAATACTGTATTACAAGGTAAGAGTAAAGAGACCATTTCAACCTCACTGCATTGTGTGCATTAATGTTCCCATTTTATATGCTCCTTGTCTTACTTCACAAAGGATTTGAATTCATGACAAGTATACACAGCACAGGAAGCTTCAGTTAACATAATAAAGCAGAGATGTAAGGTCAGGCAGGTAGCAGGGTCACTGCTAGAACCCACACAGAAGCCGTGCTGTTTCTAGGTAACTGCCGGAAGAGACCAAAGCAAAGACTGACTAGCTTCGAGGTTGCATGGCCCAGGGTAGAGATGAGCTAGCTGGTCTGGGGCAGCACTGCTCTTCCTATACTGCAGACCCACTCCAGTGTTCCCCAGCTGTCAATAAGAGACCGTGACACAGCAGGGCCTTCAGACTGTGGAGCAGATGTGCGTTGAGAAAATACATTTTCATCACACTGTTGTTTGGTTAGACATACATCCACACACACTGCACATAACCATACACACTAGGCATACCTCATCCACTGTACATATCCATACAGACTGCACACACCAAGCACCACACATATCACACACATCTCATGCACTGTACACATCTGCACACACCACACATACCATACTTACTACACATATCTTATACACAGTATATGCTACACGTACCACACATTATACATATCTCATATACCTTACACATCCATGCATACCACATACCACACATACATATATCTCATACACTCTATACATCAGCTCATACCACATACCACACATACCATACACACGATACACACTTATACATATACACTGTACACATCCATATACACCACATGCCACACTTATCGACACACCACATATACCATATGTACTACACATATCTTATACACTATATATATCCACACATACCACTCACCATACATATTACACATACTGCACATCTCATGCATCATGCACATCTGCACATACCCCATACTACACATATCTCATACACCACATACCACATACTATGCATTTCTCAAATACCATGTACATTCACACACACACACACACACACACACACACACACACACACACACACAGACACACACACCACATACCTCATATACCGTACACATAACATACAGTGCCCCTGCAAAACAAAATATTTTCCTTTCTATTTTATTATTATTATTTTATTTATTTATTTAGTTTTTTTGAAACAGGGTTTCTCTGTATAACAGCCTTAGCTGTCCTGGAACTCACTTTGTAGACCAGACTGGCCTTGAACTCATAGAGAACCACCTGCCTCTGCCTCCTGAGTGCTGGGATTAAAGGCGTGTGTCATCACACCTGGCTCTATTTTTTTTTAATTAATTTACTTAACCACTTACATTAATTCATTTAACCACTGGGCCATCTCTCCAGGCCCTCTGTTTTATTTTTTAAGTAATTAGCTTGTCATGTCACTTGATTTTGAATGTACTGACCCATGTCTTCTCCACATCCTTTCAAACAGACCTCACTAGAAGCTTCTAGAAACTGTTGTGTTCTTTTGGTGTCTCCACTTAGGCACTGAATCGCCTTTCCAACAACAGATCAGCACACACGAAACCCATTTTGTGATTTCCACCTGCACTCTGTTTCTCTTGTCTCTTTCAGTGACGACCTTTTCTCCCTACGGTACTGCCCTGGCCGCACATTAGTTGTAGGCGCCTCGTATGTTGGTCTGGAATGTGCAGGGTTTCTGGCTGGCTTGGGATTAGACGTGACAGTTATGGTACGCTCTGTCCTTCTTCGTGGCTTTGATCAAGAAATGGCAGAGAAAGTGGGATCCTACCTGGAACAACACGGCGTCAAGTTCCAAAGGAAATTTACCCCTGTTTCGGCAAGTCTGGGCAGCTTGAACCTTTTTGCTGTCTTTTTTATCTTTTAAAAATTTTGCCCTTTTTCATTTCATCAAATAAATTAGTCTGCATGCACTCACACAGTGCTGAAGGTCACATGTTTACCCCTGGTCTGCATGCACTCACAGTGCTGAAGGTGACATATTTACCCTAGGTCTGCATGCACTCACAGTGCTGAAGGTGACATGTTTACCCCAGGTCTGCATGCACTCACAGTGCTGAAGGTGACATGTTTACCCCAGGTCTGCATGCACTCACAGTGCTGAAGGTGACATGTTTACCCCAGGTCTGCATGTGCTCACAGTGCTGAAGGTGACATATTTACCCCAGGTCTGCATGTGCTCACAGTGCTGAAGGTGACATGTTTACCCCAGGTCTGCATGCGCTCACAGTGCTGAAGGTGACATGTTTACTCCAGGTCTGCATGCACTCACAGTTCTGAAGGTGACATGTTTGCCCCAGGTCTGCATGCGCTCACAGTGCTGAAGGTCACATATTTACCCTAGGTCTGCAAACACACCCACCCCGAGTCTCCCTTCTTTCCTTCTACATTTCAAGGTTGTGACATCTTCAGTCTCGTGTCTTCTCATCAGCTTTCATCCTCAGACAAAGCGGCCCTGCGTGCCTTTTGACTGGCTCCCTACATTCCTTTTCCTCTAAAAACACCCTCTGCACACTACCTCTAATTTGTTGCCTGTTTCACACCCGTTTTTCACTTCTTTAAAGCTGCTTTTCAGAAGCCCAGTGGTCACATCTGTGTCCACACATTACAGGCCTCTCTGCTGTGCACGTCTCCTCTGCCAAGCGCTTGCTGCTCTGGCTGATGCAGCCCCAGCCTGTGCCTTCCCGTCCAGTCTGCTCAGCCAGCAGACGCTGGTGCCCATTTATTTTTGTCTGCATCTCTTCACCATCCTATATTTTTTATGAATGATCTTCTCGGGCCAGGAGCTTTAAATTCGATGTGAGTGCTCAGGGCACTCATCTCTCCTGAACCCTATGCTCATTCAGAAAAGCCTATGGACAGCCTTGCTTAAGTCCTCATGAGCACTTCAGATTTAACAAGATGACATTTAAGTACTGTATTTCCCACTTAGACCCCTGCTAATCTTTCTGACCTACCCAGTAAGTGGAACCACTTAATAAGCCAACACCTGGAAGCCCCACTCTGTTTCTTTTTTTTTTGGGGGGGGGGTCTACAGTCTCAGTGAATCCTTGATTTAGTTCTAACTGCAAAATGTAGACCATGGGTGTTTTCTTTCTCTGCTTGTCCAGAGATCTCTAGTGTGCTCAAACACACGTGATCATCACCCAGCAAACACATCCACACACAAGTATCCTTTGGTTAGTTTGTTCTCTGCTGTGGTAGAGCCAGTACCTCCTGTGTCCTTACAGGTTCAACAAGTGGAGAAAGGCTCGCCTGGGAAACTGAAAGTTGTGGCTAAGTCCACTGCAGGACCGGAAACAGTTGAAGAAGTATACAACACGGTGAGTGTATGTGCTGAGCATTCTTGTAAATGAGCGGAGGCAAGGTGTTGGGAAATGATGCAAGGTTTAATGTTTCCAGTTCTTTGTAAGAAGAGGTGACAACTGTGAACAGGGGCTGCCACCACACTCATGTTCAGTGATGCGTAAAGAATTCTGTGGTGAAGTGTATACACGTGGGACTGTCCACAGAAAGCTCTGGAAGTCGACATCCAAATCCCATCAGTCTCTTTTTATAAACAAATAAATCAAGCTTTCCTTTTCAAAGACAAACAATTCCCCAATCTTGAACCAGTGTGAATGATCTGAGAGGCTGAAGTGCCAAAGGTTCTCTCAGTTACAGTTTTAGTAGAAACTGTACACTTGCTATGTACTCTTTATTTGTGTGCATTATATAAATATCTAAAAACTAAACATGAGTGTACGGAGGAACAGGCAAATTAAAATTACATAACCAAGCCAGAAGACCAACTTTCAACTGTTGAGGCTTTGATTAGGGTCCCGTGGTGTGTACGATGGTGGCTATTTGCTGTGTTTAGTGGTCCAGGAACACAATGAATCAGTCCAAGTGCTGAGATCTTAGTGGCTCCAGCAGTTGCAGTAAGACTAGGCACCTCCTCTCCTATTGAGACTGAATGAGGCATCCAGAAGGAGGAAAGGGTCCCCAAAGCAGGTAACAGAGTCAGAGACAGCCCCTGCTCCCTCTGTTAGGAGTCTCACAAGAAGACAAAGCTGTACAGCCTAACATGCAGAGGGCCTAGGTCAGTTCCATGCATGCTCTTTGGTTGGCGATTCAGTCTCTGTGAGCCCCCATGAGTCCAAGAGTTGATTCTGTGGGTTTTCTTGTGGTGTCCTTAGCCCCTCTTGCTCTCATAATCCTTCCTCCCCCCTTTCTTCCACAGGGTTCCCCAAGGTCCATCTAATGTTTGGCTGTGGGTCTCTGCATCTGTTTCCATCAGTTGCTGGGTGAAGCCTCTCTGATGACAGTGGGGCTAGGCACCAATCTATGAGTATAGCAGAATATCATTAGGAACAATTGCATTGATTTTTGTCGTTGTTGTTGCCAGTCATGTTTGGTTCTACCCTAGGTCTCTGGGCTGTCCAGCCTCTGGGTCCTGGCCCTCCAGGCAGTGTCGGGGCTACCTCTCATGGTATGGGTCTCAAGCTGGTCCAGTCATTGATTGGTCACTCCACAATTTCTGTGCTGCCTTTACCCTAGCATATCTTATAGGCAGGTCAAATTATAGGTCAAAGGTTATGTGGTTTGGTTGTGGTCCCAATCCCTCCACTGGAAGACTTGCCTGGTTATAAGGGAAGACCAGTTCAGGCTCCCTATTTCCCATTGCTAGAAGACTTAGCTAGGGTCACCCTCATAGATTCCTGGGAGTTTTCATTGCACTAGGTTTCTATCTCATCCCAGAGATGCCCTCTGATTCCAGTTGTCTGTCCCAGTACTGTCTCCCTCCATCCTCCCCTGACCTGATCCCTCCTGTTCCCATGCCAACCCCCCAATACAGATCTTTCCCCACATCCACCTGTGATGTCTATTCTATTTCCCCTTCACAGTGAAATTCATATGTCCCCCTTGAACCTTCCTTGTCACTTAGCTTCTTTGGGTCTGTGGATTGTAGCATGGATATCCTTTACTTTATAGCTAATATCCACATATGAGTGAGTACATACCATGTTTGCCTTTCTGGGTCTGGGTTACCTCATTCAGGATGATCTTTTCTAGTTCCACCCATTTGCTGGCAAATTTCATGATGTCATTGTTATTAACAGCTGAGTAGTACTCCATTGTGTATATGTATCACATTTTCTTTATCCATTCTTCCGTTGGTGGACATCTATCTAGGGTGTTTTCAGGTTCTGGCTATTATGAATAAAGCTGCTATGAACATAGTTGAGCAAGTACCCTTGTGGTATGGTGAAGTGTCCTTTGGGGATATGCCCAGGAGTAGTATAGCTGGGTCTTGAGGTAGGTTGATTCTCAGTTTTCTGAGAAACCACCACATTGATTTCCAAAGTGGCTGTACAAGTTTGCAATCCCACCAACAATGGAGGAGTGAACATATCATCACCAGCATGAACTGTCATTTGTGTTTTTGATCTTAGTTACTCTGAAAGGTGTAAGATGGAATCTCAGAATCATTTTGATTTGCATTTTCCTGATGGCTAAGGATGTTGTGTGGGGTTTGATGTGTGACTTAAGGTTTAGTAATGTTTCTTTTACAAATGTGGTTGTCCTTGCATTTGGGGCATAGATGTTAAGAATTGCAATGTCCTCTTGGTGGATTTTTCCTTTGGTTGGTACGACATGTCTTTCTTCATCTCTTTTGATTAATTTTGGTTTGAAGTCTATTTTGTTAGATAATAGAATGGCTACATCAGCTTGCTTCTTAGGTCCATTTGCTTGTAAACTCTTTTCCCAACCTTTTTTTTCTGAGGCAATGTCTGTCTTTGATTTTGAGGTGTGTTTCTTATATGCAGCAGAAGGATAGATCCTGTTTTTGTATCCATTATGTTAGCCTGTGTCTTTTTATTAGGGAATTGAGTTCATTGATATTGAGAGATACTAATGACCAATGATTGTTAATTCCTGTTATGTTGTTGTTGTTGTTGGTGTGTCTGTGTGTATTCCTCTTCTTTGGGTTTTGCTAGTGTGAGATTATCTATTGTTTGTGTTTTCATAGGTGTAGTTAACCTCCTTGGGTTGGAGTTTTCCCTCCAGTACCTTCTGTAGGGCTGGATTTGTGGATAGATATTGTTTAAATTTGTCTTTGTCATGAAATACCTGTTTTCCCTTATATGGTGATTGCAATCTGGGCTGACATCCATGGTCTCTTGAAGACATCTGTCCAGGCCCTTCTGGCTTTTAGAGTCTCCATTGAGAAGTCAGGTATAATTCTGATAGGTCTGCCTTTATATTTTACTTGGTGTTTCTCCCTTGCAGCTCTTAATATTCTTCCTTTGTGTTCTGTGTGTTTAATGTTTTGATTTTATGCAGTATGGGAACTTTCTTTTCTGGTCCAATCTATTTGGTGTTCTGTAAGCTTCTAGTATCTTTATAGGCATGACCTTCTTTAAGTTAGGAAATTTTTATTCTTTGATTTTGTTGAATATATTTTCTGGGCCTTTGAGCTGGAATTCTTCTGGTTCTTCTATTCCTATTATTCTTAAGTTTGGTCTTTCATAGTGTCCCAGATTTCCTGGATGTTTTGTGTTAGAATTTTTTAGACTTAAAATTTTCTTTGACTGATGAATCTCTTTTTTCTATCATATCTTCAATGCCTGAGATTCTCTCTTCAACCTCTTATATTCTGTTGATGATGCTCGTGTCTATAGTTCTGTTCACTTACCCAGATTTTCCATTTCCAGAATTCCCTCAGTTTGTGTTTTCTTTATTGCTTTTATTTCCATCTTCTGGTCTTAAACAGTTTCCTTTGCCTGTTTGTTTTTTTCTTGGCTTTCTTGGCATTCTTTAAGGGATTTATTGATTTCCTCCAATTTTTTGTTTGTCTTTTCCCCAATTTCTTTAAGGATTTTTTTCATTTCCTCTTTAAGGACTTGTATCATCTTCGTAAAGCTGTGCTTCAGGTGTCAGAATATTCAGGTCTTGCTGTTATAGAATAGCTGGGCTCTGGTGTTGCCATATTGCCCTTTCTGTTGTTGGTAGTGTTCTTACACTGGCATTTAGGCATTTGGGTTTGGGATGCTTATACGTCCAGATGTTGATCCCTGAGTTTGTTTTTGTTGTTTCCTCTCTGGTCTTCTGGTCTAATTGCCCAAGGGTTCCAGTGACTGGGGAGTCTTCAGGTCCAGTAGGGTATCTCCGCTGGGGTTTTTGTGGCTTGAAAGACCTCTGAGTTTTGGGTGTCAATGTTGCCTCTGTGGTTGCAAGTACCTGTGTAGCCCTTGGGGTTCTGGGTACCTGCTTGGTCTCTAGGATTCCTAGAAGGGTGTGGCCTCTAGTACAGCAGAAGCTTTCTGCTGAGGTTGTGGGCTGGGATATGGAGCTCAGGGGAGGGGTTGCACTTGGGGTTGTTGGCCAGCTTCAGGGAGTGTTAGCTGGCTGTGCTCAGTTTCTCACCTTGGGCCCTTAGAATAGGCCTGGCTTCAGTTAATGCAGAAGACTTCTGCCAAAGTGTTGGCCGGAATATGGAACCCAGGGAAGCATTGGTTTCTTTTAAACCTGTCAAGGTGTTGAGTGATTTTGTAATCATCAGTCAGCTTTGGATTCTTGGGATCAACCCAGTTCAGTGATTTCAACTTGATAGTTTAGAATTTAAATACCTATAGTTATAAGTCATGTTGGTATATGTATGCATGTGTAAGCACATATATGTGGTATGTGAGTGTGTGTGTACACATGCATATTTGTGTGTGTATGCATTTGTGTGTCTGTTTATTTGAGTCAGTCTCTCACTAAATAGACAAGGCTGGCTTTCAACTCACTGTGTAGCTCAGGCTGGCCTTAAACTCACGGTGATCCTCCTGCCTTGGTCTCCTCAGTGCTGGGATAACTGCCTGGCTTTGGCTTATAATTGTCTTTTACATCTTAAATATTTTGGGCTTAATTCCTAAGCTTATTCTGATTCATGAAAGACATTGATAGTGTACTTCCCCCCATTACTTATTTATTTTCTGGCCATATTTACATAATATTAGGATTGGATTTTTATGTTTAGTGGAATTTACTGATGGAATCACCTAGATTTAATTTACTCCTGCCATGCTGTACTGCCGTGCCATAAACCCAAACCACACACAGGGAACTGTGCCAACAACCATGCACCTAGATTTAAATTTTCCAGGGGAATGTGTGAACATGTTTTTTTTTTTTTTTTTTTTTTTTTTTTTTAAGAAATATCACTTTTGATTTATTATTTCTTCTTTTAGAAATTAGTCCATTTTAGCTAAGATTTCCAACACATTGGTATACAGTTGCTCATCTATAACTTATAAATAGATGAGCAGACTTATTGTGCAGTTGATCATTTTTGGCAAACACATGTGCTGGTGCAGGGCACACTCTTTTAAAGCAGTGGAACATGTCTGTGAGTCCAGAAAGCTCCATGTCCTTCCCAGTCCCCAGTCACCCTGCTTGGTTCTGTCACCCCAGACTTCATATCACATTATCATATTGTGGCATTTGCTCCTCAGTGCTTGGCATGGTGTGTCTAGGAGGCATTTCTAGGGCCATCGGTGTTGTATGTCTCTGTAACTGGGGGCAGGAGGATGGGGTAGACAGTGCATGGTTGTTGGCACAGTATCGTGTGTGTGGTTTGGGTTTATGGCAAGGCAGTACAGCATGGCAGGAGTACTTAGTGGGAGCAGTGATTGAAAAGAGCATGAGAAAGGGCTGAGGTCCCACAATCCACATTGAGGGCCTGCTTCTAGTGACCCCACTTACTCTCTATAGACCCCACCTCTCAAAGGTTCCTCAGCTCCCTGGGCACCACAGGCTGGGATCCACTCTTTAACACAAGACATTTGTCCCAACAATAGTAAGGACACAGCTGTGTGGCCTCATTTTCCTTTATCACCAAAGCCTTCTTCCTTTTTGTCTCCAAATCCTGTCACAGGCTGAGGTGCTCTGGCCTAGTATAGAAACGCGTAGGTTTAGAGGGGACACAACCCATAAGCTTATGCAGGTTTCATGTGTGAAATTGGTGTTATGGTTAATGCTGGACAGACTCCAGAATTACCTGGGAGATGGACCTCTGGGCATGCTTGGGGAATTATCTTGATTGTGTTAACTGAGTTGGAAAGACTTGCCCACTATGGGCTCTGCCACTCCCTGGCTGGAACCTTGTCCTGTGTAAATCAAGAAAGAGACCTGAGCAGCCTCTGCGTCCATCACTCTCTGCTTCCTGATTGTGGATGTGTGATGACCAGTTGCTGCAAGCTTGAAGCCCTGATTTTCCCACCGTGAACTGTGGCCGGAATAAACCCTTTCTCCTTGAAGTTGCTTTTGTTGGGCTGTTTTATCACAGCCACAGAGAAGAAACTAAGACAGTTGCTAAACCATGTCTTTCAAGGGTTCCATCAGATTCACTTGTATAGGCTGCTTATAACATTTCATAGTTACCTTGTGGTCCTCCAGTATCTAAGGTGCTGTCTCCCTTGTCATTCTTATGGGGATAATTTATGATTCTGGTCTCTTCTCTAAATGCAGGTTTTGTTAGCAATTGGTCGTGAATCCTGTACTAGGAAAATAGGCCTGGAGAAGATCGGGGTCAAAATCAATGAGAAGTAAGTGTAGGGTTGTGGCACTGTTACTGCCATAACCCTGTAAATTGCTAAGATATAACATTCTGATGCCTCAAATTTCTCACCGTAAACATGATGCCAACTTGTGTATTAATTTCTGGATTGGCCAATTAGGGACTTCTAACACAAGCTTTAAAGAGCTTATGTTCTCAATAGCAATCCAAAAACATATTCATAGAAATGTTCTCCCACTGTCTGTGATTTAGAGTGAATTCTGATGTCTCTGACCAGTCAAAGAGAAAAATACTGAAGCCCTTAAGGTGATCATGGGGAATGTGAAAGTTTCAGACCTGCAGGCAGCATGGTCTAAGCCATTTCTTGTAGGCCACTGGACACCTCGGTGCCCGGGCTGTGCAAGCCGCCATGTTGCTGATCTGCATGGTGCCAGGCAGCAGTCCGGGGATTTAGTGTGTGCTTTCCTCCTCACTCTACCAGGACTGGCAAAATACCAGTAAATGATGTGGAACAGACCAACGTGCCTCATGTCTATGCTATTGGGGACGTACTGGAGGGCAAACCAGAGCTCACACCTGTTGCCATACAGGCAGGCAAGCTGCTAGCTCGAAGACTCTTTGGGGCCTCTTTGGAAAAGGTACGTTTTTTCCTATAATTGACTATGTGTTTTCCTATAATTGACTATGTGTGTCTGTGTGTCTATGTGTCCGTGTATGTGTCTCTGTGTCTCTTTGTGTGTCTGTTCTTTGTGTGCCTGTGTGTATGTGTGTGTATCTCTTTGTAAGTGTTTGTATATGCATATGCACATGTATATGTGTGTTTCTCTCTGTGTGTATCTGTCTCCCTCTCACTCCCTCCCCTCTCTGTGAATGTTTATATATCTTCTATGTAAGTATAAATGTATATGTGTGTCTATCTGTATGCATGTCTTGGTGTGTGAATGTCTATGTATATATGTGTGTATATCTGTGTGTGTTTGGAGCTGAACTCTAGGTCTCATGAAGGCTAAGTGCTCTACCACTGAGCTTTATCCCGGCCCTGAGATAGTATCTTGACCAAAATTAAGATTTCAAAATTGGTAAATAGTGATTCTTAGAGATAATTTGCAGTTGAGTTACTACTGATTAAAGAGTTGGTAAAACTTGTGTTTTTTACTTCCTTGGGCTGTCCTGTGATAGTGAAAGGTTACTGTGGGTCCAGCCCCAGGACTCACCAGATGGGTGGAGGCTGAGTTCAGCAGGCTCAGGCCGTCCACGGATGACAGTCCACAGATGTGGTTATGTGCCAGAGTGCTGTGAGCCAGTTGTTGCAGCGCAGGAAAAGATGCCTGCATTATCTGACAGGCTGGAGACAGGCTTCCTAAGTGGCCTGCTGTCCATGGAGTGTCCCCTCCTGAGCAGGATACTGACCTCTTACACCGCCTGCTTGGTAAGCCCCACTCACTTATGATTTCACAGTCATCGTTTGCAAGGCCACTGCTGTGAAGTGCAGTTTCCTGTCTTGGTATTCCTTAGTGAGATACATGGGATCTAGGTAATTCTACAGAGGAAGCAATGGACTTTTTTTAGTAGATGTATCATCAGATAATACAGGGAATAATAGTGTCCTCATAGGGTCTCACCCTTGGGAGGAAAGCACTGCTTTATCAGTAGTACTGGGGACCTGTGGCAGGGCTAGCAGATGACAGGTCGTGGCTGTCCTCTTGTGAGCTTGCATATCCCCTCAGTGTACTTGGGGTGTGCCATGGGGGAGGCGGAAGGCCATATGTCCCCCAGCTTCATTTAGCAAGACACCAGACAGCAAGGGTGCTGAGGTGGCTCCTGCATGAACCTCTCACTAGATGCTCAGGTCTCTGAGTTGTCCTGCTCAGCTCATTCTCCTCTTTGGAATAACTCTGGCAAGCACACTTTTCTCTTCTGAGGTTTTTGAAGTGGTAGACATCAGCCTAATTTGTCTCTAGCTGCTGGTGCTTGTGTCGCTTAAGTACAACGGTACCTACCTCTTCAGTTGTTGTCTGAGAACTCAACAGAAGTTCAGCAATGTGGGAAGGTGGGACAGTGGTTAAGTAATTGCCACTAAGTGTAAGGACCAGAGTTGGGACCCCTCAAGACCTATGTGTGGTGGCTAACGTGTAATTCCAGCCTTGGAAAGTAGAGATGGGATCCCTAGAGCCAGCTGGCCAATAAGACTAGCTGTACAGCCAGCTCTGAGTTTGACTGAGAGACCCTGCCTCAGTCAATGAGGTAGAAGAGTAGGATGATTCCTTGCATCAACCTTGGGTCTCTACATGTGCACACACAGGCGTGTGCACACACACACAATGTGCACATGCACACATGCACACATACCATACACATGAAAAACATGCATGCACAAGGGCTGGAGAGTTGGCTCAGTAGTTAAGAGCACATACAGCTCTTGGAGAGGACCCAGATCGGCCTTTGTAGGCATCAGACACACATGTGGCATACAGCCATACTTTCAAGAAAATACCCCCACACAAAATGAATAATAAGTACATTTTGGGCGCACTCGTTCACATGCTTACCAGCACATTTAGACTTCTCCAGTCTTCTGTCAGTTGGCTCTCGTAACCGCTGGGTCCCTTTTGATCTGACACAACCCCACTGCCTTTTATGAATCCGTGTCATAGAAACTTGCTGGGAGGCAAGTCATAGGAGTGTTGTGTGTTTCTCTTCCAGTGTGATTACATTAACGTCCCAACAACGGTGTTCACACCTCTGGAATATGGCTGCTGTGGGCTGTCTGAAGAGAAAGCCATCGAAGTGTATAAAAAAGAGAATCTGGAAGTAAGGACCATGTTTCCTTTATCATCAACCTTCCCTCCCCGAAGCCACTTCTTATGTTGTAACTTTGCAAGTCTCTTTCATGCTGTTAGAGAAATCATCCTCCTGTTTGGGAGAATTTGAAGTGAATCTAAACTCCGTCACACTCGCAAAGTGATAGAAAGAACACAGCTTTGGTGAAAGGGAGGGCAGTGAGGTGTATGAATTAGGACTTTGGAGATACAGGTATAAAAGGCCCTCCCTCCATGCACAGTGGAGACTTGGCTGTCAGAGCAGGGTAGGGGTGCTGGGGGCTCTTCTGGGGTCGGTAGCACAGATGATGTGCTTCATCTTGGAAGTCAGAACGGTTCTGTGTCTTCTGATCTTCTAGGTTTGGGGTGAATGTGCCACTAGGTGGGGTCTCAGTTGTCATCTTCTCAGCCTACATAGTTACAAGTGTGGTACCTTGGGCCGACAACACTCTAAATGTTTGAAAACGGAGTTTTGCTCACAGGAGGCTGTTTCTATGTCTGACTAATGGCTGCACAAAGCAAATGTGACATGTTGCTGGCATTTCGCGAACCTGGCTCCAGTGCAGCTATCAACGTGCCCCAGGTGGGGCCTTGGGCTTCCAGTGCAGCAAGCTGTTATAGTCTGTCACCTTAGTGGGACTGAGGAGCATGTCAAGGAGTGGGTTACATGCAGTGCTAATGTCAGCCTCTCCCTTCTGTCCAGGTGTATCACACCTTGTTCTGGCCTCTGGAGTGGACAGTCGCTGGCAGAGACAATAATACCTGTTATGCGAAGATAATCTGTAACAAGTTCGACAATGTATGTAGATGCCTGGATGCTGTGCTTTCTGCTGTGCTCTAGTCTACTCCATTTTCTCTGGGGTTGTGTAAAGTACACTCTGTATCTGGGCTGCTCCCCAAGCCTCACCCACTGTGATTTTAAAATACAGCTTGGGCCAGGTGGTGGTGGTGCACGCCTTTAATCCCAGCACTTGGGAGACAGAGGCAGGCAGATCTCTGTGAGTTCAAGGCCAGGCTCCAAAGCTACAGAGAGAAACCCTGTCTCTAAAAACCAATATATATATATTGGATTCTTGCGAGTTGGGTTTTTATGATCTCTTTAAAGATGGGATTGGGGCAGAAGTAAGCTCTCAGCTGTTTGCAGAGGCTGAGGCAGGAGCAGTTTTCCACCTCAGCTGTGCCTGCCAGGCAGTGAGAGCTGGCCACCCAGAGCTGACAGTTTAGCCCTGATGGTTTAGAACTGTGAAGGCCAACACTGTGGCCACCATCCGGCACTGTGCATGATGCATGTGTGTGAGCTTCATCGGTGGAATGGCATGTGTGGAGTGTCAGGGAGAGGCACTCCCAGAAGGCAACAGGCAGGTGCTGATGGAACTGAGATGTCTCCTGTGCCTGTTCTGTCGTCTGCTTACACACTGCCTTCGTCTGTCCTCATAGAGGATCAGAATGGAGGCCAGACTCTGATGAAAAGGCGTGTCAGTGGACAGCTGTGGCTCACTTCTGCTCTGGACACCCACCACATGCTGCCCTGCTGACAGCCTCTACTAGCCATTCCTGAGCTCTGCTTAGTGTCAGGAGCAGGCAGCTGTGCATGGGCCCACAAACTCTCCTCTAGTAAGACCTGATGCCTTGGGTACTCCAGTGCAGGCGCTTAGTTCGTATGTGCAGTGTTTGTGTGGCCCTGGCTCAGTAATCCAGGAGTCACATCCCACCCACGAGCTCCATCACGGGTGGGCAAATTGAGTGCACTAGTAAATTAGAGTGTGAGTTAGTTCTGACCACACTTTACTGGCTCCTTGGCCAAGTCCTTCGAGAGGCTGTTCCCTGCTCAGTTCCTTTCCTGTGGGAGACCCTGTATATTTTAGCTGTGAACAGCAGGGAGTAGATCTCCATTCTGATCCTAGGCTTATGGGGATTCTCTGTTCTGTCTCTGTATTAAAGGAGCGTGTGGTGGGATTTCACCTTCTGGGGCCAAATGCTGGTGAAATCACACAGGGATTTGCAGCTGCTATGAAGTGTGGGCTCACAAAGCAGCTACTGAATGACACCATTGGAATCCATCCCACATGTGGTGAGGTAAGGAGCAGAGTGTGTGTGTGTGTGTGTGTGTGTGTGTAAGCATGCGTGTGTGCACACACATGTATCAGAGGACAGTCTCGAGTGTCATTCCTTAGGTTATCTTAACCTCTTTTGGAGACAGGGTGTCACACTGGCTTGAAGCTTGCCAATAGGCTAGGATGGCTAGCCAGCAAGACCCAGAATGCACCTCTGTGCCTCCATGGTGTGGAGATTTTACAAGCATGTGCCAGCACTAGGCTGGCTGGCCAGTAAGACCCAGGATGCAGCTATCTCTGCCTCCTTGGTGTGGAGATTATACAAGCGTGTGCCAGCACACTCAGCGTGGGTTTTGGGACTTGGGCCCTTACACTTGTATGGGTAGCTCTTTACCCACGAAGCTTCTTCCCAGTACTGTGTCCACTGAAAGTCCCCAAACCCCAGTGAGGTGCTTTCAGTGGGCTTCAAGTAGCCTAGCTTTACAAACAATTATGAAATTCATTGTAGAGTTTCTTTAATTCTAATATATTTTATATTAGCAAGCTAATTTAATGTGTTCTATCGGTGCAGCTGGAGCATGTCCTTGTAAAGCAGCAGTGACATTGCCACATGTTGTCTTCTTCCTTGTAAACAGGTCTTTACAACGTTGGAAATCACCAAGTCCTCGGGGCTGGACATTACTCAGAAAGGCTGCTGAGGCTAGCCCTGCTGTTGTTGGTTTCCCCTGTCACACTCTCGCTCTGTGCCCATGACATCTGCTTGGGCACTAGGGGACCAGTTCCGGGCTTTCTCCTGGCCCAGAGATGAGAAGGTGGCAGAGGACCAGCAGCAGCATCTGAAGTCTCTGCTGACGGCATGCAGCGACCAGGCTGCATCCTTGACGCCTTGGTTCGGAACCCACAGAGGTGAGCCAAGGCCGACTCCTGCACGTCAGCCTCGACTTCCCCCCACGAGGCCTTGGATGGCACAGTGAGCCCGCCCCCTTTCCCAGTTGCCAGCGCTTTGACTCTCTGTTTTCATGAAGATACTATAGTTTTCAGTGTGGACTTGTCTGTGAAGAGGTTTGTGGGCCTGGAGTGCAGCACCTAGGGATTCATGGTGTCTGGAGAGCAAGGTCAGAGCAGTTGGCTGCATAAGACTGCTGCATTAGCGGGAGGCCCATGCACTGGATGGCCTTTAAAAGGTACATTTAACCTGCTGTCAGAAACCTGACTCCTACCTCACCCCTTGTACGTCTGAGGTGAGAACCCTGAAATCACTCTCCTAGTCTCTGCACTAGCAGAGCACCGCATATAAGAGGAAAATTGTTGTATAGCTTTTCCATGTTAATCTTAAGGTCACTATTAAAAAGATTTTACTATAGTCTGTGTGATCTGATTTCAACCTGTTAAACATGATTTTGTCATGGTGTGTATAGGGTAGTAAATGAACAGGTAACCCCGAGAGTTCCATTTGAACTACACATGGCAGCATCGAGCAGACCTTTGAAGAGAGTGGGCGTCTCTCGGGTCTTTCTGGAAAACTTCTGAGGAACAGGGCGCCCTGGTGCTGGGCTATTCGAAGCCACCCACCCTTTTGAGTGTGACTAGCCTTTTGAGCCGAGTGCCACAGGCTTGCATGGTTCTGTGGTCAGAATTTCTGGATATGAGGGTTTTGTTTTATTTGAATTTTTGAGACAAGGTCTTGCTGTGTAGCCCAGGCTGCCCTTGAACCTCAGATCTTCCTTCCTTAGCCTGAGTGCTGAGGTTACGGTTGTGCAACAGGAGTGGAGTGAGGATGAGAGCCAGAGAAGCCAACACAGGATCGTTCGTGAGATGCTTCTTGTTGGAGAGAGAAAACTACCAGTGTGAGGAAGGACAGCAGGGGGTGGCCTCTGTGGGCGAGGTAGCAGTCGTCCCATGGAAGTGGGGATACTGTCTCTCTCGCTGGACATGTCGGGGCCAGGGAACTGAGCAAGTTTAAGGGAGGTAGTGATATTTGGGTGCATAGAAGAGAAGGATTTCTAAGCTAAGAGGCAGTATGCCCTCATTTTGGGGTAGACAGAGCTTCCTTTTTCTACACAAATCATGATCCATTAAAAATATTTTACTAAAATTTTTAAAATGTCTATTTTGTTTTGTTTTTGAGACACGGTGTGGGAACTCAAAATCCTCCCAAATGCTGAGATTGCAGGCATGCTCCACCAAGGAGGCAGCCCTTTCTCTTTACAAGTTCATCATCTCTGGTCTTTTGAGCTGACTAACAGCACATCTTGTTGTAAGTCAATCATACTTCAAAACTGATTTTTAACCAATGTTCCAAGTACTGGGCTGAACCATTAATTAAATAACAGGCTTGATGAGGTAATAAGTTTTTGTAGGTAGAAGGAGGGAGGTCTGTTTCCAGCTGGTGTGGCTGGGAACAGGCCAGATGGGAGGGAGAACAGAGGGGCAGGAGTGTAGGAGGAGGGGCCAGGGTGTGGTGCTTGGTCTATACCGAGGAGTCTGACTGTCCTGACTCATGGTTCCCGCATCCCAGTGTCATGAACAGACTGCTCCTGTGTTTCTCTGTCTTGCATCTAGAATGGCCCATCTAGGAATTAGCTTCTGGGACTGTTGGCTGTCCTCTTACTTACTGGAAGCACCTGCTGTTGGCTTCTATGGGTTGTGACAGGTCACTTGTACCCAAGGCTGCCAGGATCCCTTACCTGTGATCACTTCCCCCATTTCAGAGGTGGTACATGGTTGCTGCCCTTTGGGGGCAGTGAGTTGAGAATGCTTACCAAATGTGGGCTGTGTTAACTTTATTGTTGCTTTCTCAGGGAGAGATTTAATCTGGGAACATGCAGTGGCACTTTTGCAGCTGCTTGCTAGATGGTGTACATTTCCGTCCACCAGGTGTCAGGGAGGCCATGCAGCCAGAGGTGTGAAGAGTAAAGGTACTGGGTGCATCCCCTCGAGGTAAACACACTGACTAGTGCCCAGACGGTTGTCTTTTTTTATTTACTGTATGTGTATGAGTACTTTGCTTCACATACGTCTGTGCACTGTGTGCATGCGGGGTATCTACAGAGGCCAGAAAGGGCATTGTATCCCGTGTGGCTGGAGTTACAGATGATTGTAAGCCACCATAGGGGTACTGCAAACAGAATTCACTTGGACAAGAGCAGCTAGTGCTCTTAACCAAGGAACTGTCTCTCCATCTCCCCAAAAGTATGAATGTTTCCTCAGCATGTCTGCTTTGAGTGGCTAGTGATCAGGAAAGACCAAGTCAATGCTTTCTGGAGGTGGCCTATCCGCCATGTAGAAAGACTCCTTTCAGTTGAACTTGGCTCGTCTCTTTGGAAGCAAAAGCAGTTGAAGACTATGGTTCCTGGAAAAGGTGGTGTCCATGGGACTAATTCAGCTAGAAGCTGGTGGATGCTCTCAGAATCATTGACAACAGTGGCCTTTGTTAAATGCTACAGTGCCACTTAGTCTCTTGTGGATTCAGCCTTGGCTTGGGCACATGGTGGTGGTAGCTAGCCTATGTAGGGCCTTGGACATTGTGCCCTCGGAGTTTGCGTCAGAGTAGGAATGCCAGGTCAGGTGAGCCCACAGTTATAGGAATAGTTTTTGTCAGGTCCTGAGCAGGGGATGGGCAGCCAGTGTCCATAGTACTTGCCAATGATAAACCAAAAGGGCTTACTTCCAGAAGAAACAGATGAGGGAACTGTCCCCAGGAAGAGCCATATGGAGAGCCTGGTTCCGTGGTGGACTCCCAACTTCTCCAGTGTGTCAAGGCAACTGGGCAGTAGGATCTGGTTCATGCTTGGGTGATGGGAAAGATTACCCTTAAGGAAGTGTGATGGTTTGAATAAGAATGGCTCCCAAAGGCTCATATGTTTGAGTGCTTAGTGTTGTAGAATATTTTAAGGTGTGTTACTTTTGTTTATGTTGCATTTGTTTAATTCTGTGAAGCTGTGTTACTGTGCCTGTCTAAAACACCTGATGGTCTAATAAAGAACTGAATAGCCAATGTCAAGGCAGGAGAAAGGATAGGCAGGGCTGGCAGGCAGAGAGTATATATAGAAGGAGAAACTTGGGAAGAAATGAGAAGTAGCCAGAGAAGGAGGAGGACTTCAGGGGCCAGCCACCCAGATACACAACCAGCAATGGAGGAAGAAATAAGGAAAAGTGTACAGAAATAGAGGAAGGTAAAAGCCCAGAGGCAAAAGGTAAATGGGATAATTTAAAGCTAAGAAAAACTGGCAAGAAACAAGCCAAGCTAAGACCAGACATTCATAATTAGGAATAAGCCTTCATGTGTGATTGACTTTGGGCCTCCCAAAAGAGCAAAAAACAAAAACAAAAACCAACAACAGCTTAGTCATCAGGGAGTGGCAGTGCTTGAGAAGGATTAGGAGCTGTAGCTTTGTTGGAGGAAGTGTACCACTGGGGATGGCTTTTGAGGTTTCAAAAGCCCAAGCCAGGCGCAGTGGCTCTCCCTCTCTTCCTGGTGGCAAGGATCCAGATGTAGAACTCCCAGCTACTTCTCCAGCACCATGTCTGCTGGTTGCCACCATGTGCCTCATCATGACTAATGGACTAAACCTCTGAAACTGGAAGCAAGCCTCAGTTAAATGCTTTCTTTTATGAGTTGCCTTGGTCATGGTGTCTCTTTGCAGCAATAGAACACATGACTAAGACATGCAACTTGCTTGTGTTCTCATTAAAAATATAATTAAAGGGCTGGAGAGATGGTTCATCAGTTAAGAGCACTGGCTATTCTTCTAGAGGTCTTGAGTTCAATTTCTAGCACCCACATATACCTCAAAATCATCAAAACTGTAGTCCCATGGGATCCAATGGCCTCTTCTGGTATGCAGACACATATACAGACAAAATACCCCTATACATAAACAAATACATCTTTTAAAAATAACATTTAAATGTTAAATAGGATTGAAAGGCAGAAAGCCTATCTCAGGATTTCTTGGGCGGTAGATCTGCTAGCACTCGGGGTGACCACACACAATGGTAGCTCTTGTAGCAGCCTAGATGAGGCTCTTGCCAGCTGTTATTTTTGGTCATCACCCTGAAAACCTAGGCTCAGGGACCCCACAGCTGAGCTGGACAGAGAGGAACGATGTCAATTTTTCTTGCAATGGCCACCATGCCAGCCTCACCCAGGAGCCTCATCCCCTGTTGCTCTGGCTGGTCCCTGTCTCTCCTGCCGCTAGGCGAAGGCCCTGTACCTCTTCACACAGCTTCTGGGACCCATGTCTTCTGTTGGACGTCTAGGGAATTGAGCTACTGCCCATCTATAGAGTAAGTGAGAAGAACAACCAGTTCTTCTCCAGCCAGAACTCCAGCCAGCTTCTCTGGGCGGACCTATTCCCTTGGCTTCCATCGCTCTGTAGAGGTCTGTGCTCACCTTTCCTTCTGAAGGACATTTGCTGGATGGGGGACTCAGCTTGACTTACGTTTCCCATCAGCACTATGAGGATGATGTCCTGGTCATCTTGTCCATCACTACTGTGGCTGCATCATGCTGCCTTGTTGAATTTCTCCTGTGTGTGCCTTTCCCCATTGCCTCTTAGCTGCTCTTAAGACACTTGGATGCTCAGCTGGGCTCCCTCTCGCCCGGAAGGGAAGGGCCTTGTCCCAGGTCCCCCAGTGGCTGCCCGAATCTACAGATGGGACCAGATCTTGTCCTGTGCACACACAGAGGGCCTTTCCAGCTTGTACAAGTGTCTCACTTTACCACAGCTGTTCCGCAGTTGGTGTGATAGCAAGCTTCTCTGCTCCTCAGCTCTGTGGGGTGAGGATTCTACCAGGACACCACAGCAGTCCTGGCACAGTTATCTTTCCTTATTGATAACTTCTGCCATCTCCCCAAGGCAAGTGTGAATCTCCAGGGTCACTGCTTCTGGGACAATAGTAAAACAGGGTCCGCTGAGAACAGGCATGGTGATACGGCAGCAGCTGGTCTGATGAATGGGCAGGTGAAATCTACTGTGGATGCACTGTGAGACAGGAGGATCCACATCACAGGTGGGAGGGAATGGGATGGTGGGAGAGCCTGTTCAGAGTGGAGCATCATTTGAACAATGAACTGTGTATCGCTGCTCTCCCTTTTCATATTTTCAGACTGCAGTTGGCGAGTAACTGAAACCCGAGCAACTGCACACAGGGAACCATGGTGAATGTTTCTTCATTCTCATCCTTTCTGGGTCCTTCTTGGACCAGTGGGTTGATGTCTTACACCAGTTTGGAAAAATTCCCAGCCATTTCTTCCTCAGATATTTCTTCATATGTTTTCTGTTGTAGACTTCCAGTCTTGGGTGCATTGGACTTACCATTTTATGTGGCTCAGTTTGCTTTTGTTTCCACGTGAACTTGCCCCCGGGAACCCTG